CATTTGCAGGGAAAGCTACACGTTTGCTTGGTTAGAGATGTGCTTCTCATCAACCGAAGCCCTTGTGTGCATATGTGCCCACGGCCACAGACAAGAGGGTGGTAAAGGCCTGAGGGGGCGGGGGGCAAGCTGGGAAAGGTCATTGGGGGGGAGGGGACATCTGTAGTATCTTCAACAATAAAGATTTTTTAAAAATAAAAATAATACAAATAATAATAATAATTAATAAATATGCCTCTTGAGTAAAAACTGACCCTACCCTACCCAGGATCTTGAAACAGCTACGCTTATGCTTTTCAGTTGAGACTTATTAAAAGTCACACACACACACACACTCCCTACCATACATTGTATGACAACTACCATGTTGAAATCAGTACCATGTCACCACCGCTCCATGCAAGCAAAGGACCTGCCCATAGAGCCTTCCCCACACGGACCCTCTTGGCAGCAGCCCTTCTGCCCGTGTGGCAGAGGTCCTGTTCCCTAGATCTGCAGAGAGGGCGGAGGGCGGGTAAGGTACCAGGAACCCTCATGTCTTTATGTGATTGTTGTCACTTCCAGTCAGCTGACCGGTATGCTGGTCTTTCCTGGACTGCATCCATTGGTTTTCTAGTTTCCGACCAAAGAGTTCATGTGAAAATAAAAGAGGAGAGCGGGGAAAGGAAAGCTGTTGCTGACATGAGGTACCTGGTGCTGTGGTGTTTAGAAGATCACGTGTCTAGTCTGTCGGTTCCTGTTATGTCCTCCCAAACCTACAGGTGCTTCTGGATTGGCTGGCTGGTTGGCGGGTTGGACCTAGATGCTCACACATTTGCTTTGTCTAAAATTCCAGACTTGGACCAAACCGGTTTGGCTCAGTGAATAGAGTGTCGGCCTGCGGACCAAAAGGTCCCAGGTTCGATTCCGGTCAAGGGCATGTACCTTGGTTGCGGGCACATCCTCAGTAGGGGGTGTGCAGGAGGCAGCTGGTCGATGTTTCTCTCTCATCGATGTTTCTAACTCTCTATCCCTCTCCCTTCCTCTCTGTAAAAAATCAATAAAATATATTTTAAAAAAAATAAAATAAAATTCCAGACTTGGTTCTCAGTGCATCCCGTTTAAATCATGTCATTTGTTTACTTAAACCTGTGCTGAATTTACATGTTAAACCTCTCAGGCCTTAGCCGTTACCTCAGATTATAAACCAGGAGTATCTAAAACTGGACAAAACTCATTTCCCTTTAAGCAATAAAGGAAATTGTCAGATCCTTGTTAAACTTAGCAGCTTTCCTTTCTACATTTCTATAGGATCAATGTTCAAATTCAAACTACTGTGACAGGACCCAGGACAAGTGAAATGAGACCCAGAGGGGTTGCTGATCAAAAAGCAAACGCTAAGGACTAAGAAGGCTAATTCTTCACCTGTAAGGCCGGCTAGCTTTTTACTAAAAAAAAAAAAATAGAATTTCTATGGAAAGTCAGGGAATATGCAGTTAAGAGGAAATGTTCTCTGTTGATTGAAGGGACTAGCATTTCATAGGTAACTGACCCTGCCCGAGGGTGTGAGGCCCACTGGTGGCCTCTTAAGGGGTTAGTTGATGATTATTTGAAAAAGCAGTTCAGGAATTATTTCCAATCCAGCAAAGAAAGGGAGAGTCCTCGTGGACAGCTTACACTTTCACCCACACAACATTGTGAACCTGGGTGAAAAGAGTAGAGGTCAAGTACTTGCTGTGGATACATTCGCGGAGAATCAAGCCCTTAAATGTGTTCAAATATTCATCTTTTGGGTTCCTTCCATGAGGTCAGAATTTTAGAAAGGCGCTAAAAGGGTAGCGCCTTCAGACTGTTTTTAAATGGCTTTTTTTTAAGAGCCTGTACTCCTTTCTCTATCCAAAGCCACTGTTCTGCAAACTGCAACGTTAATTCAGACTTAGAAGAAACAGGGACCCGGATCATAAAAAACACCTTTTATATGACAACGCATGATGTTTGTATCACATTGATTAATGTTCCCATAATGGAATATTGGTTTCAATATGCCACTTACCCAGTGCCCTTTAGTTTATGAGATAAACAAAATACTGGTTCTTATTGTTATTGTTTACACTTATTGAATGTCAGCCCTCCCTCAGGCACTTTATGGGAATAACTGATTATTGTTGGTATTTCTTCCAAAGAATCATGGCTTTCCTGTATTAAATGACTAAGCTCCCAGGTGCGGCCTTGCCAAGTAAGCGATGCGCCTTCTGCTGTTTTGTAATCTGTGTGTGTTTGAGTGGAGGGAAAAGGGCTCCACATGCGGCTCAGGTCTCAGGGTTTGGATTCTCGCGTGAAACAGAACGTGGTTGGCATCAGGATACTACGGGATGGCTCCCGTCGTCTGTTAACTATTTCTCATGGTATTTAGGTTAATGTCGCAAAATCGGATATTTTAGAGCTGGAAAGCACCTTAATAACCATTTAGTTTAATCTCATTTTATATCACAGAAGCAAAGTAACTGGACAGGTTTCATTTTATTAGCAGTAGAAATTATAGAGCTGAATTGTGAAATCAGTAGAAACAAACACTCTAATCCCACTAGGGCAAAGTTCACGTTCACTGGGCTCTCTGCACCAGCTTTTCAATAATTCAGTGCGATTTGGTTTTGCTTTGTCTTATGTGTTTTTGGTGTGTAACAAAGAACACCTAACCAGTGTGATCTTAAAAAAGAATTGAACCCTTGATAACACTGAAAACTAATGAAACTTTTAAATCCTCCCGAATGTGAAAGACTGCTCAGGGATTGGAAGCAATGCTTTTTATTCTTATGACTTGCCGCTCCCACCAGCCACTGCCTTCGGGGTGCAGTTCTAATCAATGCTTTATCCACTTGGCAATCTATACCTCAGCAACACGAATCGGAGAGAGCCATCAATGCGGGAAAGAGACCCATAAATCAGAATGTCAGGTGGGCATAGTTCCATTTTATTAACTAGTATTTAGAGATTATTGGATAAAACATTTCATGGACATAAATTTATGATCCTCATATCCCTCCTAGATGCCACCACATCCCGGTGGGACGATGACAGTCTGTGTTATTGTCTTCTAACAACAGGGGTGATCAGCTAGTGACAGGAGAGCAAGCCGCTGGCTTGTCTCTCTTTATTCAAGCTTTAAAGGACTTACTGTGGCCCCCTGTTCGAATGCTAGTCATAGAATCCCCTTGTCTTTGAAAGTGTCCATAGCTGTATACATGTGCAAAGATTCACTTCCACGAGTTCCAACCCAAAAAGTGCCTCGCGTGTCGGCCAGTTTCTCTATGTTGATGTCTACATGCACAACTGGAATTATTAGTTCAAAAGAATTAATATAAACAGCAAACAGGCGGAAGTACAAGGAAAAATGCCGCTGCTCAAGAGCTCTCTCCACTCTTTTTCTCTTGTGAGCGTGTCACTCGTGTCTGTTTGAATGTGCTGTTTCGCTCTTCCTTCCTTTGAACTATTCCTGAGGGTGTTTGTGAAACATCAGAACCAGGAGCAGGCCCTCAGTGGAGCCTGGGTATCTTTTTGAAAATAAGTCTGTAGGGCAAATAGTCGGCTGGGTACAACCTCCGAAGGAACCAATGCAGCTCCCAGGGGATTCTTAATGCCACGCAAAGGAATCACAACCCTAGCAGGTATGTGGGCAGCAGGAGGCAGCAGTGACAGACCTGAGGTGTATATCTGATCGTCCCCTTGAAAAAGCCAGCCATCTTGGAATCTTCCAAGAGAGTAGATCAAAGACGTTATGACCAGAGGCCAAAGGCAGAGGTCTCACCCCGCGCTCGGGAGATGAGATATCAAGTGTGTCCCTGAGGTGTGCGCGTCCTGAGCGAGGCACAGGGGCAGGTGAGACTGAGCACCTGGGGGTCTGTGCAGTGACAGAGGAGCCACTGTCCGAGGTTCAAGTTGAATTTCCATCACAACAGTCACTTCACATTAAATACCAGGCATGCATTTTACCAAAGAATGGAGCTTTTTAAGAGTGTCAGTATTGTGCTGCTTCTACACAAACATCACGGGAACGTGAGGCCTACGTGTGCTTGCACATTCACCGATTCCTGCGAGAAAAGGAAAAGCAGAGGGCTCACCTTCAGAGTGATGCCTTAAGAAACCACAAAATAAATACTGTCCAGTAGACAGAACACCGAGCCGGCTCGAGTAGTTAAAGTGACAGCAGAAGCCTAGCAGATAGCCAAGAAGACATAGCTCACTGGGTTCCAGCCGCAGGAAGACGCAAGCAGCCCATTCTGGATTATGTCTGTTCCTGCTGCGTTTATTTTCACAGTTGGCACCAAAGAGCACTTGTGTAAATTTCCCTGGCATCGCGTAAAAGAATTCAGTTGCTTTTCCTACTATCTCTTCACTGCCCTCAGCTCTGCAGTGTGAATCTGCCACAGGTCATTTCTGAATCACACGATCACGCCCTTTGCTCAAACTGTCCTCAAAGGACCCATAAGGGGAGATATAAGAGTAAAGCTCAACCATGCTTTTTTAATAATAACATTTACATTGAAGAAAAAATGCAAAATTATTAGTTGAATTCTTTTAGAAGTCCGGTTACTGGGTCTACCTTTCGTTGAGGTTGAAGAAAAGAAAGCTGGCAGGGCAATCCTTTGGTTACCGTGGGAGATTATACACATGTACCTCTTCTCACGGAGCCAAGGCTAATTTTGAGTTCCACCTGCATGTCTGCCGTCTTCACATATATATGATTTCAGGGAGTAAGGGAGAGGAAGATGGGAGATAGAAACATCAATGATGAGAGAGAATCAGTGATCGGTGGCCTCCTACACGCCTCCAACTGGAGATCAAGCCAGCAACCCAGGCATGTGCCCGTGACCGGAATTGAACCCGGGACACTTCAGTCCATAGGCCGGCGCTCTATCCATTGAGCCAAACCAGCTAGAGCCACTAAGGACTTTTAATAACATTTCCCTGAGCTCTTGGTTTCTTCCTTTTCTTCAAGCAACCCCTGTCAAAGCATCCCAACCCTCTTGGCAAACCCCACAAGTGATCTCGCTTGTGGATGAAGCATCAAAGCCCTGGCTGCTTCTGCAGTCTGCCCTCGCTCGGTCACACTCGTCCTCTGAGAATAAAACCCTCCTTACAAATGGCAACCCTGCTCTCCTCATGCCTCAGGTTCTCCTCGTTTCCCAGTGACAGCGCAGTCAGCACACTTCCTTCTAGACCAGGGGTGGGCAAACTTTTTGACTCGAGGGCCACAATGGGTTCTTAAACTGGACCGGAGGCCGGAACAAAAGCATGGATGGAGTGTTTGTGTGAACTAATATAAATTCAAAGTAAACATCATTACATAAAAGGGTCCGGTCTTTTTGTTTTTTAGTTTTATTCATTTCAAACGGGCCGTAGTTTGCCCACAGCTGTTCTAGACGCAGAGCAGGCCCATACTTTCGCAGGCTTCCACCCTCGGGGCTGTCTTAGAAAGCCACCGTACCCAACACGCACTCCTTCAACAAATAGCTGTTGAGCTGCCAGGAACTATTCCTAGTCACTGGAGCGTAGCAGTGAACAACAGACAACAATTCCACCTTCCTGGGGAGCACATGCCAATGAAACAGAGGCGAGTTAAGACTTGAAACATGGGAACGTTGCTCTCTGTAAAAGTCCATGTCATAAATGATTTGTGGGAATCCCATCCTCCTTTTATATTTTAACTTTGTCTTTTACACGGTGTTCCTGACATTTTTTTTATCCTCACCTGAGGATATTTTTCCATTGATTTTTAGAGAGAGTGGAAGAGAGAGGGAAAGACAGAGAAAAACATCGATGGGAGAGGAACACATTGATCGGTTGCCTCCTGCACGCGCTTTGACCAGGGCCCAGACCGGGGAGGAGCCTGCAACTTGCCCTTGACCAGAATCCAAACCAGGACCCTTCGGTCCACAGGCCGATGCTCTATCCATTGAGCCAAACTGGCTAGGCCCTGACAATTTGCTGACATTCAAAATGGGAAGGTGTGGATGAAAGAACGTGAAGGGATCAGCCAAAAACCATATATACATATGACATAGACACAGAGGACTATGTGGGTATAGCCATGGGCGGGGCGGGGGGGGTGCAAGTGGGCAAAGGGTGGGGGGAAATGGGGATGGAAAGAGACTTTGCTTGGGTCAATGGACACATGATACAGTGTGCAGATGACGTTTCATTGAGTTGTACACTTGAGACCTATATGGTTTTTCTAACCAATGTTACCCTAATAAATTCAATTTTTAAAAATGGGTGGGTGCAGAGAAAGCTTTAGGAAATGGAATCTGTGACTTCTTCCCTCTACCAAGGATTCTATTTAACCAGGCAGTTCTGCTCTTTACCTCTACCCAGGCCTGTCCCCTTTGTTTCTAACCAGTTTAGGAAGGGCTCAACATTCTTGTCCAGGAAGCCCTGTTTGATAATAGAGGCTTGATAAGCTACACTTGGCTTGAGTATATGTGTGTAAGGGGGAGACACGGGGCTGTGTCTTCGCAGAGAGTACCATAATTATACTGCTCAGTGGTAATAAGGAGAGGGATTTTTAATTTTTTCTCTATCAAAACTCTGTTCATTTAGTCTTTGTAGCAAGAAGTTAAAAAATATGTAGGCTCCCTCTTAGAGCATGTTTCTGATTATGATGTCAATTTTTCAAAATTGCAAAATGAGAAGGGAAGTTCTCACTGTTAACATGAACTTTGTATGAAGTTTAGATCCCAGACAGACTTCTAAAGTCACTAAATCTCGTTATTTTTCACACTGAACAGGCACTGGGCAGTCCACTATATAACCAGGTAACACCACGGCTTTGGTGGAGGCAAGGGTATGGGCTCTGGCGCCGGGCCCACCTTGGCCTTCTTGCAGAGCCCCTAGTGTCCCTGGAAGTATAGTCCAGAGGCTGCTCATCTAGGTCAGATCCTCCCGTTCATGTCTGGAAGAAACCGAGACCAGTGAGATGAAATTATTTGCCAAAAGTCACACACCATTTAGCAGTACAGCAAGGACTGGGATTCAGACTTCCAGTCACACGCTCTTTCTACTGTGCTGTTTCTTTTCATGAAAATGCGAAGGCACTTGGTTGGGTCTTGTTTTCCAATATTCAAATAAAAATATAAAAATGAAATAGATGTTTATGCTGAGTGGCCCAAGTCTGTCTACATTCAAGTCTCCCCACTTAGCAACACTGGCAAGCCATTCCCCTTGCCCTGTGGAGGCAGGTGCCCAGGCTCTGCCCCCTGAGACATGGCAGGGGCAGGTCTTTGCCTGCGTGCCTAGAAGCTGGAGAGAGAGGTGTACTGGGCATAATGTGTTGGTGGTGGGGGTGGGGGGGGAGTCCTGAGCTTCTCTCCTCACTCTTAGCTCTAGGTGGGGGCTGAAGCATTCTTGTCCAGGAAGCCCTGCTTAACAATAGAGGCTTGATAAGCTACCCTTGGCATCATAATTCCCCTTCACTTCTCTAAGTATGGCTCTAGTTTGCCACCTCCCCATTTTAATGCCCACAAAGGATATACTAAACCCCAAGGTTGTGTGAGTGGGTGCCCAGGAGGGCTGGCCCTTGCTTCCCTTACTCTAAAATTATGTTTTTCCTCAGAGAAACTAGCGTGCACTTGGAACAGACACCAAGGTTGGCCATATCTTTACTTCTGGCTGCTAGTTGGGGAGGAAACCTGGTCAAGGCTGTACATGGGGTCTCGCACTTGAGGACTTCCTGGTTTCTCCCCTGCCCCCACCTTTTATCTTTCAACTTGACCGCTGGGCTCCTTCTCAGTGGGATATTGGCCGGAACGGAGCTGGGTAGGAGAGAAGTTCACAGTGACTTACTTTAGCTCCTTTATCGAGGCAGCTTCCTGGTCTATCTGAGCCACAGCCCACTTCCCCCTCTGCCTGTCACTGATAGAGCCCTTGCCAGAACCCTCCCAATCGTCCCCATGGGGAGCCTTTGGCCTTATCCAGCTTGGGGGGGAGGGGGCCTTGACCAATTTACAATTAACTCTTCATGTCCTGGAAAACTGAAGCCACAAACATTGGGTTTCTATCATGCCCAAACTTAGAGCACAGACATTACAGCTGCTCAGACCTGTTGGGAAATGCGTTACTAACATGAACTCTGCCTTGTCTGTCTCCTCAGGAAGAGCATGAGATCCCTGCCAGTGTGTTTGCCAAGGAGCCCGTGCCCAGCCCCAACGAAGGGAAGGAGGACCTCGCCAATGAGAACAAGTCTTTGGAGGAGACCTTGCACACAGTGGACCTCTCGTCGGAAGATGAGTTGGCCCGCGACGAGGAGGCCCTGGAAGACAGCGCAGAGGAAAATATGGGAGAAAGCAGAGCCGAGAAGATCAAGAGGTCCAGCCTCCGGAAGGTGGACAGCCTCAAGAAGGCCTTCTCCCGCCAGAACATCGAGAAGCAGATGAACAGGCTGGGGACAAAGATCGTGTCTGTGGAGAGGAGGGAGAAGATTAAGAAATCGTTTGCTTCCAACCACCAGAAAACATCCTCCGGGAAGGGCTCCCCCTTCAAGGTCTCTCCTCTCACTTTCGGGCGCAAGAAAATCCGAGAAGGGGAAAGCGCAGGGGAGAACGAGACCAAGTCCGAAGACGTGCCCAACGACCATGACCACGAGGGGAGCTCACTGGCCGAGGGCCTCTCCCAAGCATCCCTCTCCAGCGCCCTGGCCGAAGGGAAGGGGGCCGAGGGGGAGAGTGGGAGGGCAGCCTCGCGGGGGAGTAACTCTGGCATGGACAGCAACGTGGACTTGACCGTCGAGGAAGATGAGGAGTCATTGGTGGCCCAGGAACAGGCACAGAAGGTGCACTATGAGGCCGGCTACGCACTCAACTCCAAGGAGGCAGAGCGGTCAGAAGAGGAGGCCGCCCAGCCCCCTGTGCTGCAGGTGGGCCAGATGGCCTGAGCAGGAGGCCCACTGGGCCCGGCGGTGCCTGCAGGCAGGTGGGAGCCTAGAACACGCGTCCACGCGCCTCCAGCGCTCCCCACTCACCACCGTGTTGTTGCCCATGCAGCAGCACACACGTGACCAAGATTCGCTCTGAAGGCAGCCTGTCAGGGGCTCCATTTCTAGTTTGTTCCTCGGTTCTGTTTCTGTAGGATTTCTCCAAGATGCCAGAAGACATGAAGCAGTTGCAAAACACTGATCAGGTTAGCTTAGTCAAAGAACCAGGGGCTCCTGAAGACACTAGTCATGAAAGGCGATTGATTTGGGGTCATTCCATAAGCTTGCTGCATAACGTACCAGTAATACATGGAATTTCCACAGAACTCCGTGCATCTGTTAGTTATTTTTCAGGTGTGTGATATACGATATACATGTGTGTTTAAGCTAAAGGGGTAACTGCTTTTTTAAAAAAAGAAAACACGTTTTTGAGAAAGTAGAAGAAAAAGTTCAGTTGGCCATCCACTTAATAGAAACTATTATTTTCTTGAAAATAAAGTAAAAATTGTAATTTTTAGCTAATGAAGTAAGATATGTAGGAAAATCAGGAATCTTAGAAAAAGAACACTAGAAAATGAGGTGGGAAAATAAGAAAAACTGGAACAAAGAATGCCAGAGAAAATGACACAGAGAGAAAAAAAGTATGTGCTTAAAAGTAGAATATTTACAATCTAAGTTCAAGTATTTCACTCTTTATAACAATACTAAAGAAGTTCATATACCTGGAATAATGTTATATTTTCACAATATTTTTATTTTCTAACATTTTCAAATAATATAAAGACATTTTACTGTGTTAAAGCTGTATTTTTTCTTAATATATAAAAGACATTACAAATATTCCCCTGAAGAAACTCAAAAGGATGTTGTCTCTTTCATGCTGGGAATGAACATAAATATTCAAAATTAATTAACACACACGGCCTTTTCTAGGAAGATGGAAAATGCTAGTCTTTAATGTTTTCCAAATTTCAAACACTCGCACTCAAAATGTAATGTTGGTTTATAGGATATTAAAATCAACAGGTTTAGGAAAGGGAGGGCTTCTGTTTGTCCCTTTTTTAGACATAATGATAATTTCATTCTGGGTCTTATTTTATTTATATGTCAATTCCACATCATTTTAGTATGTTTATTAACTTTTTAAAGCATGCTAGTATTTATATATATATATGCACATATATTCAGATAGGGAAATTTTTACTACTGCCTAACATTATACTAAAATGATGCTTTATCTATTTTTAATTACAGAATGCTAATGTTTTGAGAATATTATGAAACTATAGTTTAAAGACAGGTAGCAAGGAGCAGTTCCCTGCCTTTAGATTTTGCCACTCACTATAAGTAGCCTTACACATATAGCTAACCCGAGACAGTATTAACAAACTGCTTTGTCTTACAAAAGAGATAAGTTTAACAAATGTATTGATGGCATAACCTATACGGCTATCCTTGTTTTTGCAATCGTGTACCCCACGTATTAGATGGTTGAACTAACAATGGCTGTGTTAAAGAAGACTAAATAAACCAAAAATGAAAAGTATATAACAGTGTCAGTGTGTTGGCAGAACAATTTCAGAACAAGCAGAGAGAATTGATTTTTAAACTCTCCTCCAAATATAGCTGTAATGTTGATTGTTTCTGTCTTGATTTCCCCTATTAACTCGGCTTTCTCTTTTCCCTGATCTCATTTAGAATCTGAGTCTCATTCTTCCAGTTTAACTTTCTTGACATCACCTTGCCAGCTCTGGGGAGCATGTGAATCGGTAGCAGCTGCTTGATGAATGTGATATTTCCATCTGCATTTTTGCTGCTTGGTACCAGGCCTCAGAATACCTTAAGTAGCCCTGCAAACACGAATGTATCGAGCTGTGCGTTCAGTTGATCCACACAGATAAACCCTTGTCTGCTGCACCGTCATCCATCTGGTGAAGACTTCCTTTCACCCTGGCCCTCGGCATGCCTGTTTCACCTTTACCAGGCTGCTATCACTTCTTGCTGCCACACAGCTGGAGGGTCCAGAGCTAATGTGGTGACCACATTTCCTTTTCCAAACATGCGTATGCCGTGTAGTGAAAAGCGACACTCTGGCATCTTTTTAGATTTTACCGACAAACAGTTTACTCTATGCTCCACATTCGAAGCATTGAAATCCTCAGCAATAAACAGAGAATAAGGCCAGATAATTGTTGGAAAGCACATACGTCAGGATTACAGAGAGGAGTCGTTGTGGAAGCAGAAGCTGTTTCCTCTGTGTCATTGTTGAATTATTTGCATTCTGGTGAGGCTGCACAGCCCCCAAATTAGATACGGCTTCCCCCCGCCCAGCCACTAACCCACTTCTAACTCATGTGCCTGGAGCTCACGGGATTACTTCCCCCCAAAGGTTGGTTGTACATTAATAAGCACTGAGATCCATATCTTAGAAACATAATTCAGGAGCAAGAAACTTCATTACATGGACCACAAATCTCACAGAAATATAGCAAAGATGTCACTTTTCTACGAGATTTTACTTTTAAAATATATAGATATATATTTCAGC